TTGGGCTGTGTGCGGGAGAAGTGGGGGGCGAGGGGGAGGTGGGAGCAGGGGGCTCCTCCGCTGGTCCCTGAGGTGGGTCTGAGGGGCTGACGCTGCTGTCGAGGGACCCAGGAGCAGGGGTCAAGCTCTCCGTGGCCTTGCTAGCAGCAGGAGTGGTTTGGTCCTCATGGTCCATCTCATCCTTGTCCACCGGTGCTGGGAGAGGGCTTGGGGCCGGTTTTGGCAGCGCCGAGTCAGCCGGGTCAGCAGGGCTCTTCCTCACGTCAGGGGGGCTCTTCCTCACAAGTGGGGTGCTGCCACCACCCTCAGTACCCTGGTGCTGGCTGCCGAGCCCCGCGGTGGGTTTCCCTTCCTTCTTCAGGGACAGGACAGCCTCCAGCTCGCTCTTGATTTTCATCACGCTGCGGGTCTGCGGGGCAGGGTTGCTCTCCTGAGCGGGAAGCTCTGTGCTGGGAGAAGTCCCCTTGGCACTGGGGGGTCCGCTGGGCACCTCCTTCTTCTTGCTCTCCCCTCCTGGGGGTAACTTTGTGTCCTTCCCAGCAGCTCCAGCGAGCTGGGGCCCATTGAGACTGGGCTCATGGCTGCCAGCGCGATCGGTGCCATGGTCCTTAGACCGGGGAGCTGACGGCTTCTCCAGCAGCTTCTCCTCCCTCCGCGGGGAGCGCAGCAGGGCCGAGAGCTCATGCCGCAGCCTGCTCAGGTTGCTGGCGTCCCTCCAGTCATCCTCACAGGTCGGGTAGTCTGGAGGGGGCAGGTCCAGGTCATTCGCAGAGAGAGATTCAGATTTTGGAGGAGAGTGTCCCTGCGCTGGTTTCGGTGGGGGAACCTTCTCTGGCTCAGAGGCTGGCAGCGGGGACCGGCGACCGGCAGGATTTGTCCCTTGGCCAAATCCTAGACCTGGCTTGGGGCTCAGCGGCGGAGGGGTCGGCACAGCCGGCTTCGTGACAGCCTGTCTCAGCGGGGAATTTCTTTGCTCGGCTTCTCCCGCGGCAGCCCTTGGCGCGGGCCTTCT